CTGCATTCATGACTATTACCAAAAAAAATCTGAGGCATTTTATTTTCCCGTCATGAAAGCACTCACCATTTTGTGGTGGGAACAAAGCTGCAGGAGGAGTCCCTATGCGTTCTAGGGAGTCTTGAGGAGAAATGCCTCTGTGCCTGGAAGAGGGAGACGTCTTTAAGGTCATTGCTCTAGGTGACCCTATGTGTGCAGGCAGGGTTGGACAAGATGACCTCTAGAGGTCCCTTCCAACCTTAACAGTTCTATGATTCTATGATTCCCTTTTCTGCCTCAGAGTCAGTTTCAGCTGAGATTAGGGAAGGCTAGAGAAAATGGAAAAGAAGATGGGGTGTTCGAATAACAAGCTTGTTATTCTGAGCCCTGAAGCACGTGGGATTGTGTATTATCTTGAATACTGTCCCGGCAGCTGTAGCAGAAGGACATCAGTGGGAAAATGAAAGAAAGGTTTCCCTGTGGAGAAAGCTTCCTAGCTTTGTTTGGTGGGCAGCAGCATTTCTGGGAAGATGTGTGTTTCAAACCAACCAACAAAAGCGAGGGCTGCCTTGTGCAGGTCAGCGAGTGCAAGTTGTAGAGTGGCACTGGCTCTTTTCTAGCTAAAAATCAATAGGGAGCAATGCTGGGTTCTGCCAAGGTTTCCACAGGTGTGTTTTAGGCGCGTGAGGTCTTCCTGTTAACACTTTTTGTTACTGGAATCCTTAACGCTCACTAGTGCAGTCACTTTTGCTTACGTACAGACATCTCATTTACCATACTTTCAGGTCACTTATTATTCTTTTGTGTAAGATCTTAATACTCAGAAAATGTTTGTTCCCTTCCTTTTTAATTCCCTCGCACAAATGTAGACTTGTAAGAGATTGCAGAAGCAAAAAAAATGGTGATTAAATAAATTAAAAAAATTGGTGATTAAATAATAGATTCTTCTCTCTCCAGTCTCTGGTGTCCACATAGAGCAAGCACATCAGCACCTAGAGGACAAGAACTTGTTTTGCTTCCTGATGCTGTAGCCTTTTTTCGCTGAGCTTTGGGGAACGTGGGCAGCTTGTGCGTTCTGATGCTAGAGACTTGCTCTGTCAGCAGGCCTGGTTATGGCCTGGTTTGAGCTGACCTTTGATAGACGGGGCCTGGAGCTGTCCTGCTCATCTGGTTAAGCAGACGTGCTCCTGGAAGGCCTGAGTACGCTACTGTGGGCTGCAATATTAATTGTCTGTGCCAGGCTTTGAAAGGGTGAGGACAAATGCTCCTGTCAACAGCTTAATTTATTCTTAAATCTTTGCAACTCTGGTGTACATTGCTGGAATAAGCATTGGCCAGAAGAAATATGCCCAGTAATAATTTATATTCAATATTTTGTGTTAGTTGTGTGATCCTTTCACTCACTAATTTGTCAAGCATTCTCTGTTCCAACTGACATTCGTATTCTCTGTCTTCTGCAGCTGTGGTGATGCTGGCAGCAGCTTTTCAAGTTTCTCCTCCTGCAAACTGCCTTTGGTTGTGGATTACAATGACCCAAACTGCTTTTGTGTTGGGTGCAATTTAAATGCCAGTCATTGCAGTTCCTTTTGTATTCCCTGTGTATTTTTCTGATTTATGTGAAATATGTTTTCTAATATGTGTTAATTTGCCTTTGTAAGGCTGTAGGCTTTCCTTGTTTTCTTTAATAGCTAAAGTTATGAATCAATTTAGTTCCTGTTTTGGAAGGATCATTTAGGTTTTCTAAAACAATAAAACCAAATTAGAACTGCACATGTTTTAACTTGTTTCCTTTTCTTCTGAATGATTCTACTGAGAGATGTAATCCTTGCATAAAAACCTGTCAGTGTGGCATATTTCAACTAAAGCTGATCAAGAAATAGCATTATAACTACTGCATAGCCCAGAAAAAAAAAATCCTATTTATGTAGAAACCATAGATTGAACTCCCAAATATGTGTTTGCAGCCTTGAAAATCTGAAGACAAAGGGAGGTAGGAGAAGACTTGTTTAATTGCCCATACATAAACAAAGGGTATTAGAGATAGTGTGAATGAGGAAAAATACAGTAGATAGAGTACAGAGAGATAGATTGTATGCTGTGCTTGATGGTTTTGTAAGATAATCAGAACAAGAAAGAGATTCATCCTCCCTGAGGCCTCCAGAGCTGCATCCTCTGTGCTCTGTCTGGGCCGAGGCCCCTGATGTGGCCGGGACGGTGGCTTCAGCAGCCGCTGGAGCTGAGAACGTGTTTGCTGGCTTGAGCTGAGGTGAGGACCTGCCTTTGCCCCATCTGCACAAACTGCTGCTACTCTGTTGCATCTGTTGGCCACCTCTGTTATCTGCGCTCGTGCTATAGGAAACTTTAGTTCGAAGGGGGAAAATGAGATAATTCTTGCCCTCCCTTTCTCCTGACAAGCAAACCGCAAACCATGATGTTTTTGCTGCAGCCAAAACAAATAAAAGGAAGCTGTGCTGCTTATCTCCTTATCCTGTATAGTTGAGTGTGTGGATGTGCTATAGTTCAATACATGTATGCTTATTTGTTCAACAGAATTCTTCAGTGTATTCCACACCTGTGTTTATAAATTGAAAAGAAAGGATCAAAACTGAAAATGATGCAAGGATATCACCTAGAGAGATACTATACCTGTTCTCACTTCAGTCAAAAGAAATGTTTCAGATATAGCAATTATAGCAGTGGTGCCACTTAGCACCACTTGCCACTTAGCAAATTGCTTATTTTTGTTCCTTTATTGAAAAAGGCCTGTTATAGTTGCTCTTAGTGTATTTGCTGGGAATGTATAGCTTGTCCAAGAGGTCAGAAAGTCTTAGTAGGATGTGGTAAATAGTCTTCAGACTTATGGTTAGAAAAGAGACAAGAAGTTGATTTACCAACATGGTGTGTTCATGTCTTGCTCTACATCCCCTCTGTGTGACTTAGTCTTTGTGGCTTTAACTAGAACAGGGCCTTTTAGTAAAGCTACTCTTAATCAAAAATTGTTCAGCTTCATTTGGCAAGTAGCGTAAGATCTAAGCACACCTGCCAATGACCTGTGATAGACAACACCTTTGCAGTTTTTAAGGCTGAAAGGTAGGGTGCTTTGCTGTAGCTGAGATAAGATTTCTTTCCTGTGAATACATGTGCTGTTGGAATCAGTCTGATGAACATACTACAAGTTTAGACTCCTATTTTTCTACCTTCAGACAGCTTTGAAGAAAATCATTTAATTTAACACAATTCTATAGTGAAGCAAATTGTTTTCTTTTCCATGAGGCATTTGTTTATTGCTTATTAAAAGGCAATCTATTTAAAAACTTGAAATGTGCTTCATCTTCATCGGTAAAGCTTTCTGCTATAACCCTGGCAGCCTCATTAAGCTCCATTAAAATCTTTCTAGTTAGAATAAGTGTTCAGAACAACTGAAAATTGATGTAGTAGAGATTTTGATTAGCGCATCGGGCAGCGTGCGAATGCGTCTGCAAATCAGCCTGTTGTTGTGTTCTGGGTTGTAGCTGATACCTTTTCAAAGGTTTTTATATAGATGTCGGGAAAATACTTGTGCTATTAAATAAAAGCCTGCACCAGAGCTGTTCCTTGTAGGACTATAATTTATACCCACAAGCACCAGGGAAGCTGCCTGCTAGTTCCCTTGTATCTGTTATCATCCCTGATGATTTGGAGGGGAAGAGCTCACTGATAGTGCCTGGGCTGATGGTAGCAGAATACGAAGCTGCTGTGCTACTGCTTTCAGTTCTTCCTCCTCAGTCCTGTTTTGCAAATGCAACATGAGCTGCTTTTTCCAAACCCTGCAGCAGCTAGAGCTAAATTGGGTGTATTGGGAGCTTGGTATGGGAAATAGGGAAAATAGTGTAGGATCCTTCAAGTGGCGGAGTAGGGTACGTTCAGTGTGGGTCAGTGCAAGGCAGGAGTGCATTACAAACAGCTGTGAAACCAAACTCAAAGCAGGTTGTATGGTACCATAGGTATTGGCAGAGAGTATGTACAGTTTGGAGTTAAGGACATTTAGCTCCTGCTACAATTAATTTCGAAGGCATTTTTTATTAGGTGCCTTCTCCAGTGTTTCTTCCTAGCCTGAAACTGCATCTGAGTGAGTTCTGCCTTTTGTAGGCTGTGAAACATTTAAAGCTTTGCTCCCTTTCTTTATGTTAGCAACATACTGACTTTTTCTGAATGACTTTTGTTCTTTTTTTTAGTATTTTAAAAGGAATACTTGCTTACAGGCCTTACAAATTCACAGTGCTGAACTTAATTGTATGAGCATTTCAGTTATGCAGTGTGAACTCTATCTTCTATCAGTAATGGAAAATAATCAGAGAAACTGATTTTAATTTCAGTACCAATGGGGTTTCTGATTATTGTTCTGTGCTTTTAGCAGTCTCCTGAGTCTAATAAACTCTGTTCAGGTGTGGTAAGAATTGCTGGAGGTTCTTTTGTTTTGCATAGATAGGCTGATCAAAACCCTGGGGGGGGGAAAAAAAACCCACTCAATCAGTCTGTGAAAAATGAGTAAGATAATATCAGAGGGTATTTGATTTCGGGATTTAGCTGCTGGATGCTCCTATTACACTTTATTAGACTGATTTACAGGCATTTGCTAATTAGCATATCTTGGTGCATACCTTTACATACTTAACAATTAAAATTCTTAAGACTTGTGTCCCACAAACAACCTCATCTGTGTAACCTCTGGCACCTTGAATAACTTTCATGTAGTGAAGGTGTTAGCTGAGAGTAAGCAATTCTCATCTGCTTCAGCTTGGTCCGAAGAATGGTAAAATGTGTACAAAACCGTTTTCCTGCATGAATTTTACACAAGTTAGCTGTTTCCTGTGACTGAGTAATGACCCCGAAGGTCAGAGGTTATTTGAGTATGTCAGTGATTACTATAGCAAATTAGTGAAAGTATAGAGAATAAAAACAATATAGAGCTGCTGATTAACCAGGACACTAGTGGAGACTTAGCATACCTGTATGATGGAGAACACGTAATGTTTTTGTAGGTTAGACGAGTGCCAGGTTCCAGTGGCCACCTCCATAAAACAGAAGATGGGGATTGGGAATGGAGTGATGATGAAATGGATGAAAAGAGCGAGGAAGGCAAAGCTGCTTTTTCTCAGGAAAAGGTAACTTCTGTTTGTGCTGAGATATGAACAAGATATTCTGTCTTAATGCTAATTGTTAGTACTTCCGAATCTTCCATATGTGACACTCATATCTTGATGCTTTTTTTTTCTAGTCACGAAGAGTGAAAGAAGAGGAGAACATAGAGGTAAACTGTTCTTTATTGATGTTTTGCTTTCAAGTGTTTATGTAAGGAGGATTTCTGTTTTAATTTCTATTTTTAAAGACATGAATTACGGCGAAAGTATTTGTTTTGGTTGTATAACCTTGTATGGCAAGTACATATGGGGATAGTTGGACCTGCAGCAATTAACTAGAACACACATTGGATAAAATGGATAGAAAAATCACAATGTTATGTTCGTGCCCAAGAGAATTGGTTAAGATAAGGTGATTTGGCTATTTTTAATGAATATTCTTGACTCCAGCACACTAATTGCTCTTTTTCTGTCAGACTAATGATGGCTGTTTTGGAGTAGCCAGAAGATCTCCAAATAATTTTTCTTTCTTGGAATGTGTATCATGACATGTAGTTGGTAATTAAAATGCTTCATATCTAATGTAATAGAATAGTTCAATACTGTGGCATAGTAGATTATTTCATAGAATTGAAGTACTATATTGAATGTGATGGGCTTATGCTGACAGACTAGGTGCTATAAATAGTGACTTAATAAGGTTACTGGTTTCCAGCCACGTTGCTATTATTTTGAAAAGCTCACCGGGTGGTGGCACTTGACATTTCACCCGCAATTTTAGATTTTCTGATTTTCATTGGTATCGTATAACCTTTAGAAAGATGAAGAATTCCTGCTATGATGACCCCACTTTTCAGTTGTCAGTGCTGCTTGCGTAGTGTTTCTGGTGGAGGTTACATTCTAAGTCTGAGATATTGTGGGGCCTCCGCACTGCTCCTCATGCTTCTTTTGTTTTCAAACAACTTGGAGATTTCCATATTTTGGAATTTACTCTGGGCTTCAAATCCACATCTAATGGTGAAAACAGGCTTCAAGTACCTGAATCTATAGAAGTAAGGACATTCATAATTGTGTAGATGGCTTGCATAGTGGCTTGGTTGTAGTTTTCTGCTCAGGAGACTTGCTAGTATTCACAAGCATACTGATTCTCTCTGCTTGTGTGCTATATGTGAAACTCTCTCGGAAGCACTGTTCTCGGCTGTAGCAGTCAGATTAATACACTCGAGTACTGAAGAAAATGAAGGGAAATTCCACCTCTGCATGCTAATGTGTTTAAGCCAGATGTTCTTAAGGAAAGTCTCTTTCAGTGTTGTAGTCTGCTCAAGGAGTCTCTTTATCCACGTGTGTGTCTGGTGTTTGAGGGAGGAGTCGCCTGAGCAGCATTACAGCCTGCAAGTTTGAGAGCTTGATTTCACCAAGAGATTTTTTCATGCCTGTTCATTATATTACTTGTAGAAAATGGATGGTTGTTTGTGTTTTTATGTTCTTTTAAAAACTCTAAAAATGCAAGTCTTGGAGATGTTTTCCTGTGATGGCAGGCACAGAAGTGGCCAGTCTAGTTCTGATTCTGTTCTCTGAAGTATAGTTTCTAAGGAAGACTGAAGATTTCAGCTAGCTGTAGTCTTTATATGTCTTACAAATTCAGAATTCTGTATTTTGTCAATTGTTTTGTACAGATAACTCTTTGGTTATGAATTTACTGTTTAATTAATAAATGATAAAGAAACCTTCATTCTTCTTTGTCTTCTATTATTATGATTATTATGATTATTTTATTCCTAATTGCTACAGGAGATGCTTTGGAATTGAGATTAAGAAAATTCTTGCAACCTGTGTGTGTTGGTCTTTGATGGGCTGTGGGCTGTTGTAAAAATACTAGATTTGTTGAGCATGCAAAAATACAAATAGCGATTTACATCAACGGAAGGAAATTATTTGAGCTAGAGAAAATCTATTTCACTTTTAGTGATCAAGTAATGTTCCAAATATTCATTAATTGGTGTTTAAAATCTAGATGCATGCTGGTTCTTGCATAGATAATAGAAAGCAGACCTTGATAGGCTATTAGTTCTTAGCAACTGAGTAAACACAAGACTTTATTTAAAAACTGAAACTGTATCATGCAAAATTAATGTGAGTAATAGATTGATGCTCTCACTGTACACTGTATTCCTATTATTTAGTAGTTTATCAGAGTTTGATAAAAGGTGGATCTAACATCCAGTATTTAGGTGTAAGCTTTTTTATTTGTGTCTCTGAAATATGGCAGTTTTAATGGTATCGCCTGTATTTTAGACTGCATTACTGTAAAGCTTTAGATCCCCTTTGGTAGTCGATGTGAAGGTTTTTGAGAGTGATGCTGACTTCAAATTGTTAGCATGGCAAATATTTCAGGATTTTTTTCCCTTTGTCCTCCATTATAACACTTATGTGTTTTTTTTTTTTTTCCCCTTTGGTAGTCTCAGCCTGCTGTTAGTGACGAATACAGTGAAGTTCCATGCGCAGTGAATCTTGTTTTAAGATTACGGTAAGAGATGCTGCAATTTTTTTTAGTGTTCATTTTTAGTTTATTCTATTATTCCTGTTCTCTGTTATTTTCATAATATTAATATAAAGTGTTAACTTCTTTACTCTCCCAGTATGACCAGTATGAATAATATTTCTGTTACTAATTGCTGTCTTTTAATTGCTTACTGAAATAGAATAAAATGAAAAGCAGAATATGAACATGACTTCAGGCTAAATGTATCCTTCATTAAGCATTTACTTTCTTTCTTCGTCCTTTCCTTGTAATGAAGGATCACAGTGCGAGATTTTTAATGAGTTTCTTTCACACTTCAGCAGTCAGCCTCTGTCAGAAGTAAACCATAGCTGTATTACAAGTTGCCTACTCAAAACATATTTCTTTGGCAAGTTTGATCAGCCACTGTGGAGAAATGACAGATACTTTACAAAAAGGATACAAATATGTCATCTGACTTCAGTGTGTTTGGAGTTTAAGCAAATCAGTTTACCTTCCGCTAAAATCCATTTATAAATAATATTCGATAGTGGCTGCTTAATTATGCAGTTTAACTATTGGAAAAAAAGTTTGTTTTTTCTTTTTATGAGAAATCTTATAGCTTCTCCTGGTCTAATAACAATTTTCTGAAGTTGAAAAAAAAATACTAAAACTTGCTTTAGGGCTTGTTTTCATCCTGTTTGTATTGACAAAAGGTTTCAATCCCTCAGAAATATGTCTGTATGTCCCCAGAATATGTCTATATTCTAGTTAGATAAAAGATTAAAAAAATGTGGAAACAGACAGCTATTTACAGCTTTATGATCAGTAGGTTAGGAACAAAGAGCAGATTTATGCACAGCAAGTGGCTCTAAGATGGTAACATTAAAAACTAATAGTAATCAGAGAAAAAAAAAAAACTGTGCAGAATGAGTGCTTGAGTTCTGTTCCCCTTTTCTTTGACTCCTCCTGCAGTGACAGCTACAAGAAACTGCTTGTCTGCCAAATGTTCATTGAAGGAAGCAGAGATATATTTTACTGTGGGGACTGAAAAGACTTTTAAATTATCTAGAAGCTTTTAAGTTGTTGTCCAGTTTACGTAACTGACCAATTATGTCATCAATATATTTTTTTTCATTTTCATTTATCAAACTGACCATTTTATAGATCCATGTAGAAACACAAGTGAGATGCCTGGGCAGTTTTAAATCATGATAAAATGTGTGGGGTTAGTTTCTAGCCACTTAATTGCAGCGATGGCATATCTGAAGGGATATCATCCTGCAAATACAGTGAAATGCCAGGGATTATACTTTGAATTTTTTACAGCTCATACGTTGGAAGTGAAGGAAGAAAATTCTATTTACATAATCAACCTTTGTTCCTGTTATGAATCCTCCTAGTTCTCAGATGTAAAAGATTTCTACCACCACCTGAAGCAAGTCCACTGTAAATAAACTCATGAGGCTGCAAGTGTGATGGTTCAGATGGTTTTTCTAGTTATGCTAGTCTAAAATTAATGCTTGAGTGTCTTGTCCTGTATTAACAGCCATCTTATTTGGGAAAAGGGGCAGATCATAAATCAGTAACTTTGAAGAAGTTTTCAGTTGCTTCCATTATCAGTCTACTTGTGAGGAGGTGTCTCAAAATCATTGGCCTGTCAATATTTGATGAGGTATCTGTCAGAAAAACCTTGTGAAAGGTTTTTCACCTTTCATCTTATGATAAGCATGTCTATAGTGGCCCTGGCCTGTCAGCAAAAGGTTGCACCTGAGAGTAGAGCACTCCTGGATTTTGCTTTTGTGGATCTGTGTCTGCCCTGTGTGACTGAGGAAAACCAGGGAATCCAGCTCTGGAGAAGTGTTGTTTGTGATATCAGAAAAGCTTTCTGCCGTACGGACCCAGGGTCCGGGTTCTTCCTCCAAACTCCTGAAGATTCCCACTGGGACTTGGGCCAGTGTTCCAGTGAAGAAGTACTGACAAGATGGTACTGCACCAGCTAAAGTGTGTCACGAGATACTGTTTCAGGAAGAAGGTAGTGTTTAGAATATTAAAATATTAGTGTTTGAGCTATTGCTTTAGTCTGTTTTGTGCTGATTCATCTGCCTTTTTGTAACCCGAAGAGCAAATGTATAAGATTATCTCAAAAATTCTTAAAAATAAATTTCCTGTGTCGTAGGATGTGTGCCTGGTGGCCCTCAATCACTAAAAGTCAGTCCCAGGTTATAGAGAAACCCCTCTGTATCCTCAGGGTGCTCGCAGATGTCCTTGTGCTTGGATTATTGTGAGGTGAATAATCTTATATTTATGGTAGCTGCGTATGGGGAAAGCGGCTCTGTGGTCACTTTCCAAGTAAAGCTTTTAAAGCATTGGAAAGTAAAAATACTGCCAGTTTTGGAATTTGTGCTTAATGAAGACTGTAGATGACTTGCTTTTGTGCCATGCAGCATTCCCTTGGGATTGCAATGTAGTGAAGAGTTAAAATGCTCACAGGGATTTCTTCATTTATCCACCTCCACTTTAGACTTTAAACTGTTCTGTTGATGTCTTTGGTGTATTGATCAGTAAGTCATATAGCTAGCTGATGGAGACTTGAGCCCATCAGAGGATTTTTATGAGATTTGTTAAAATGAACCACAAGTTGTGAACCATGTTATTATGGAGTAAGTTAGCTATACTGTGACGATAGAAGCAAACAATTCCCTGCAGTGCCTCATCTAGTACTATTATATAATTTTTTTGAAGTACGGCTTGACATTTAGATAAATATTGTGAACATTACATGCAGGCTTAAAACTCAGTATTCATCCAAAATGTTGGAAGCTTTTTCTTCTAAAGTAACTCTCTGGAAGCAATTAAATTATACAAATGGCTGTGGCTTGATTACTTCAGAGCACTCTGGCTTTAGGTGCTGGAAATTATCATTATTAAAGAAAAAAGGAGAGGAAAAAAAAAAACCGAACAACTGCTGTAGGTAAAAATGTAAATACAAAAGGAATGGGTTGGTCGTTTGGGGACGAGAAGGAAAGGGAAGCAGAGATGGCAATAGAGAATTCCGGAAGGTCTGAGCTCGGCTCCCCTCTGTGTGGCGCCCGGCCGAGGCGGCGGCCCTGCCTGAGGGGCTGGGCGCCACAAGGCAGCAGTGTCTCCTGTTTCGCAGAGTGGGCTGGCACGGCGCGCGCGTGGCGTG